CAAATTCCCATGCACCCCGACGACGCTGAACATACTTCGTTCTATTCAGCCCGAGGTCTTTATTGTTATGTCATGATGACTTTTGGATTGAAGAATGTTGGGGCTACATATCAAAGGTTGGCCAATAAGATGTTCGATCGCTTGATTGGTCATACAATGGAAGTTTACGTAGACGACATGCTGGTGAAATCGGAACAAGCCTCCAATCATATCGCTCATATTTCCGAAGTCTTTGATATCCTTCGAGAATACTCAATGGTGCTTAACCCTAAGAAGTGCACTTTCGGGGTTGGGTCAGGAAAATTTTTAGGATACATGGTGAGCCAGAGAGGAATCGAGGCTAATCCCGTCAAGATTCAGGCCATACTTGATTTGGCTCCTCCGACGTCCATTAAAGGATCCAAGCTTTAACTGGTCGACTAGCAGCTCTAAATCAATTCATTTCAAAGTCGACGGATCATTGTAAGCCTTTCTTTGACGCTATCAGAAAGAAGAAGCCGTTTGAATGGACCACGGAATGTCAGAATGCTTTTGATAACATCAAAGAAATTCTTTCACAACTACCGACGTTGCAAAAACCTCTTCCCGATGAACCTTTGTATTTGTATCTCGGAGTAAGTGACGTTGCTGTTAGCGTTATACGACAAGATGGACTCCAGCAATTCCCGATATATTATGTTAGCAAGGCTTTACATGACGCTGAATTGCGATATTCGTATATGGAGAAGTTAGCCTTTGCTTTGATCATTGCTGCACGAAAATTGCGTCCATATTTTCTAGAGCATTCTGTTGTTGTGTTCACATCATATCCTCTCCGACAAGTCCTCCACCGACCTGACACATCGGGAAGAATGATCAAGTGGGCCATAGAGCTTGGACAGTTTGACATTTAGTATCGACCACGAACTGCAATCAAAGCCCAAGTATTATCCGACTTCATAGCAGAGTTTACTCCATCTGTCAACACAATTATTGAGGATCCAACATGGACTCTCTACATCGATGGATCGTCCACTGCTATACGAGCTGGAGGAGGAATCGTTTTAGTTAGTCCTGATCAACAAGTTTTTTGTTACTCTGTAGCATTCACTTTCCCGGCTACCAACAATGAAGCTGAATATGAAGCTCTCTTATCAGGTCTACATTTTGCTGAATCCATGAATGTTTCCTCCCTCCGCATATTTTCTGACTCTCAGTTACTAGTCAGCCGCATTCATGGCACCTATGAAGTCAAGGAACCACGATTGCTGCCTTATTTTGATCTTGTCAAGAAGAAGTTATCGCGATTCAAAATGACTTTAGAGCATATACCTCGATCGTCTAACATTCAAGCAGATGCTCTCTCACATTTGGCCTCTTCAACCGATTTGAACAATGTCGAATTTGTGCAAATTACTCAACAGACGACTTCCTCAATGATTTCTACCGACGTCGTCATGATCGACGCTGCTTCGCCAATTCCAAATTCGACATGGATGGATCCAATCATCAACTACCTTCAAACCGGGGTCGTGCCTGAAGACCCAAAAGAAGCCTGCACCCTTCGTGTTCGTGCTGCTCATTTCACAATTGATCAAGAAACACTATACAAGCGTGGATATTCCACTCCATTGCTCAAATGCTTGTCGGAAACTGACGCCCGACGTATTCTTCAAGAAGTACATGAAGGTGTCTGCGGTACCTATCAAGGAGCACAAGCTTTATCCCACAAGATTCTCCGACAAGGTTACTATTGGCTGAGTGTCAAGAAAGATGCCGCAGACTGGGTGCGAAAATGCCACAAGTGTCAGATATTTGCTCCCAACGTTAACCAACATCCTGAACTCCTCAAGTCAATATATAGCCCATGGCCGTTTGCAAAATGAGGGATTGATTTTATTGGCCCGCTTCCGACAGCAAAGGGAGGTGTTCGATTTGCGATATTAGCTGTCGACTACTTCACCAAATGGGTTGAGGCCGAACCTCGTGCAACCATCACCAAACAAAAAATGATCGATTTTGTATGGAAGTCCATCTTCTGTCGGTTTGGAATACTGAACTCCATTATAACCGACAACGGTCTTCAGTTCTAAGGAAAAAGATTTGAAGGCTTTTGTGAAGATTATGGCATCAAGCATTTCTTCTCGTAACCTTACCATCCACAAGCTAATGGACAAATAGAAGCTGTAAATAGAATCATCAAGAATGGTCTGAAAACTTGACTTGAGACCGCAAAGGGATCGTGGCTTGATGAGCTACCCCATGCCTTTTGGGCCTATCGGACGACGACATGAAACTCAAGTGGAGAAACCCAGTTCTCGATAACATATGGAACTGAAGCTGTAATACCTGCTGAACTTACTTCTCCGACATATCGGATTACCCATTTTTCTGAAGAAACCAATTCAGGAAACTTAAGAGCCAATCTCGACTTGGTCGATGAACTACGGACCCAAGCTGAAATTCGAAATGCTACTTACAAATGACGTAGTGAAAAGTACATTAATTCGAAGATCAAGCCACGTTCATTTGTCGTAGGAGACCTTGTGTTGAAGAGTTATTGGGGCCAACGTCAGTCCGTTGCAACCGAAATGGGATGGACCCTTCCGAGTAAACCGTCTAATATCCAGTGGTACCTGCCGACTTGAAACTTTAGATGGTGTTCCCCTTCAATACCCTTGGCATGCGACCTATCTGAAGAAGTATTTTCAGTAAACCTGAGCATTGAACTCTGATCTCCGATGTATAGAGACTTTTGCCTTACCTGTGTACAAAATTACCTTTTGTTATCAATAAAGTTGTGTGCCGAACCACTATAATTTGTTCGCTCACTTGGACCCCAATAAATTGGTCCCCGCTGCTAAGGCTAAACGTGTTTGTATCCTGAAGTTGGTACGACCTAGCCAAACGCAATGAAGCCGGATACATCCAAGCCCTGAAGATGGTTTGGGGAGGCTTATGCTCTACAATTTCAAATCTCGACGTTGATTTGATGAGCTTACAATAAGTATTTCTGAGTTCTTCGAAACATTCAAACATTTTTACAATAAAAGCAAGTTGATTACGACTTGTTCTGATTAAGAGTTTACAGATGTCGGATACGCTATAAATTATACCGATATCGAGAATTCAGAAAAACTCATAAGAAAGCTAAGCGTAAATGCCAAATATCTCGTCGGAATAATCAAAAGCATGATGTGCTAAACATTCATTTATCTTTACTCTGACGTATTTTGACTTGTTACAGTAATATGTCATAGTCATACATTCACAAAGATAACAAAATCATTAAACATTGAATTTCATTTATAATAAAATATTGTCATTACTTTCGATAAAGAAAAATAAAAAACAAAAACTAATTATCAAGTTTCATTCATCTTTGTTCGTCCCCGACGACGACGCACCCCCAGTTGCTGAAGATTGAGGGTTTTCAGCTTCAGCTTTCCCTTTATCTACTGCATCTAAGTGATCTATTAATCTTTGGCCTAACCGCTGCATCACCTCCTCTTCTTTCTCCTCCATTGCTCGGACGATATCGCTTTCCTTTATAATGACGAAGTCATCATCCTCATGTAAAACTCGGTTATCGTCAGAGGGAATGTAATAACCCAACTTTTTGTTAATAAATGATGTATTATCTTTTACTGATTCCGTTCATTTTCAGCGAATAAGTTCGACGTTAAGTCAAAAATTTTATTCGGTTAATTATTAACCGAGTTAAATTCGATAATCAATTTCCGAATCGTTTAGTTTATAAACGGACATTTTTTATCGGGATTAATTATTGAAAATTAAGAATGTTCGGAATTCAATGTCAAAGTCATATTAAGTTGTGAATGCACTAAGGAGCATTAAGCACGCATGTGTATACGCATACGACCACGCACGCAAACGCGCACCGCGTGCATTACCGCGCACCGCGCATCGCGCGCACCGTCAAGCCCCTTAAGTACGTGCTTATAGTCCTTTAAGCCCTATGATCAAGGTTAAGTAATTCAAACTTTAAGCTTCCAAATTGCCGTGAGGAAAATTAAAGGGATGAGTTTGGGTTGCAAGTTGTAGTGATGAGTCACCTAGGTGCTTGTACACATGGCACAACACACACACACGGGCGATGACTAAGCCCGTGCATGCTTGACACCTCGGCCGTGACTAAGGGACGCCCCACATCAGCCACGTTCGGACACTTGTAACCAAGGGAAGTGTGGTCATCTTTCACCTCTTTTGACCCATCTTCACCCACGGTTTTTACTCCTTTTAAATACCGAACGTGGACATTGATTTCATGCATTTTTCATGCACCAAGTTCAGCCCAACTTCAGCACATAATTAAGGGAGAAATAGTGAGGATAATAATTTAGAAAAATCGTATAAAAATAGCTAAGGAAGGCGGAAGTACAAGGGAAGTTAAGGCACACGCGTTTAAGCACTACATGCGCACGCAAGTCGTCGTGCAATCCTCGTCCGAACTGAAGGGTACATTCTTGTTTACCCTCTTTTTATGTATTTCAGTTCATTGTAAGGAGATCATGTTGTAAACTCGTTGTTTGGTTCAAGTTACATATGAAAACGCTCTCGGAGATGCTATATAAGCTCCCTCCGAGTAACTTCATTTTTTAACCGGCAAGTCCCGAACACTTTATGCATATTTAAGTAATTTAAGTCAGATCATGTCCAGTTATAAGTGATTTGCCGGAGAAGGTTGCCGGACGGCCGGCGAAACGCCGACAGTGATGCCTACCGCACGTGGAGTGCGCGCAGGCACGCCGGCAAACCCAGCGAGTACACAGGCAGCGTCCGCGTGCCCAGTAACGCGCACGCGTGCCTAGTACTCGGCAGCCAAGCATCGCGATGCCACAGTCGTGTGCGTAGACGTGCACAGTGGGCGCACACACATACGGCAACGCGTTACCGCGACCGTCCACTCAGTCCGCGTACGCAGCAACGCGTTGCACGCCCAGCAGCGTGTTCCGCAAAGCACGTACACACGCCAGCAGCGTTCAACGCACACTGGCCAGCAATCACGCACGCCAGCACGCCCAGCAGCGTGCCAGCGGTGCCCAGCAAGCCTCGGCGATGCCCGGCAGCACGCCAAGCGCTTAGATGTTCTAGTACGCGTAGCACATGCGCCAGTTGCTTGTCTGTGATGCGTAGTTATGTCCGGCAGTGCTCGTGCGAGTCAAGGTCGTTGCCAGCGGGCACGGCAGCCACCAGTCGCACTCAGCAAGTACCCAGTCGTCACTGGCCGTGCACAGCAGCATGCCAGCAACCGTCCCAACGCGCACACGTTGCCAGCGGCACCAGCCAGCGCCCGGGACCAACCCAGCAGCGCCAGCCAGCGCCAGCGACGCCGGCAGCGCCCAGTCCGCGCCCAGCGTGCGCGAGTGACCGAGTCGGTGGTTAGCCAGCAGCCGACCGCCCGGCCGCAGTGAGCTGGCGGTCCGGCCAGAAAATGAACCGGCCGGTTTAGACCGGTTTGTGAGTTGTTCAGTATTTACTGACCCGGTTCGAGTCCAGTACAGTATTTCAGTTAATTTTTCAGTCCAGTTAGTCCAGTACACCGGTATCAGTTCAGTCCGATTTTTTTTCTCAGTCAAGTTAAGTCCCGAGAATATCCCAGTTAAATATTTAGATCGATTCGAGCATCTTAACAGATATTTTTAGTCAGTCTGAGCGTAGTACTTAGTATTTGCTTATTTATATATTTTTCAGAGTGATCAACAGCAGCACTTACATTAGCAGTTCAGGTGGGGACTCAGACTGAGTATTACATTGAGTTTAATTACAGCTATCATGTCGAGGTATGTATATATATCAGTTCCGCTTAGAGTGGTGGCCAGTTTGCGTAATTCCACTCCGAGCTCTAGTGGCTGGATCTGACCACTAGGGTGTGCACATGGTTCCGGCTGAGTTTATTACAGTCGGCAGACACAGTTTACGTCCAATTTATACTGTTGACGAGTAATTATAGATAGAGGCAGATGTACATGCGTTTGATCATGATGATGCAAATATTATTAATGTTTACTTGAGTATGAGTTTCTGCGGAGTACAGTGTTTTTAGTACTCACGCTCCCACTATTATGATTCTTTTTAGCAGACAGGGTCGGTCCGGAGGAGTGAGTGGAGCTGGTGGTCGCCGGTCTAGTACATGTAAATATGTATATATTTTTACAGACTGTTGATATGTATATATTTACCACGCTTTACTTCTGCTGACGTTTTCAGACTTTCAAACTAGCGTGTAAATTTTCAGATAACGGTCCGAGTTTTCGGGTCTAGTTTTATACAGTATCACACGCTTGTTTTATAATGATAAACCGTTTTTCATAAATGAGTTTATAGTTAACGGATTTTTAGAAAAGACATACTTTATGTAGCATTCCGATATATGTTTCGCAAAATAAAATGTAAACTTAAGAAAAATATTTACGAAAATCGCACTCTGATTTTAGTACGCTAGCGGGGTGTTACAAATTGGTATCAGAGCACGTTTTTGTGTATCTGAATACTTTTAAGTCAAAAATTTTCAGAAAAGACCCGACCATGCTACGCTCACGCCTCGCCGACTATCAGGTAAGTGTTGAGTTACAGTTTATATATATATATATAAATGAATACTTAAGTCTATGCTCAGTAGAGGGTACCAGATTATTGACCCTAGAAACTAGTAAGATGCTCGAGTATTTTCAGAACTTAGTCGATTGTCCCAGTCATTTGATAGTTCGACTTTAGTATTCTCGGGTTAATTAGCGACTCGTCAAGAGATCTGTGTATTTAAGTAATCAGTCTATTAATCTTGTATGTTAATTAATCATGTTAAACATTTAAATGTTCAGATGCCTCCTCGTAGAGAGCCAGATCACCAGGAACTCCCACAGGCCACAGTGGTCACCCAATTCCGCGACTACCATCCAGAAAAGTTTTCTGGCCAAGGAGATCCTCATATAGTAGATGAATGGGTTCAGGGTCTCGAGATTATTTTCGAGGTCATGGATTTCCCTGATCGTTATCGCACGTTATGTGCCCAGATCAAGCTGACCGGTGATGCCCGACTCTAGTGGCAAGCCTATTGGAGTATGCGTCCCGGTGAAAAAGACGGTTGTACGTGGGACCAGTTCAAGGAGCTGATACGAGAAAAGTATTATCCCTCGTATTACCGAGCAGAAATGGAGCGCCAGTTTTTGGCACTCACTAAGGGTACTCGTACTGTCGACGAGTACGAAAGAGAGTTCACCCGTCTCGGAGCCTTTGTACCTGATCTTGTGGGTACGGAGGCGAAGAGAGCCCACCGTTTCACTGACGGACTTCGCCTAGCAGTCCGCCACAACATCGTAGGCCACGGCGTCCAGACCTACGCCCGCGCAGTTGCCATTGCACAGGAAGTCGATGCAAGTATCCGACGTGAAGCCGTCCAGCCCAGCCAGTTGCTCAGCCACCAGCCCAGCCCAAAGTTTCCCAACCGTCAAAGAACCAGAAGAAGAGGAAGTACAAAAACAATCTTGATGACCGGAGGACCCGTCCTAGACAATATCCAGAATGCCCAACCTGCGGGAAACACCATTGTGGAGAATGCCTCGTGGGCCAGAATGTTTGTTTCTTTTGCCGCCAACCAGGTCACTTCAGCAACAACTGTCCGGCACGACTACAACAACAACCGCAACAACGTCAACCGCCACAGCAACCTCAACAACAGCGACCTCAACAACAACAGCCCATGCAGCAACCACCACGACCACAGCAACAGCAACGCGGCAGACAGCAGGCCCGCGTCTTTGCAGTTGATCAGAGACAGGCCGATCAACACCCAGGTACCATGTCCGGGATGATTATTCTTAATTATGTGACTGTTTATGCCTTATTTGATACTGGAGCGACCCATTCTTTTATATCACGACGATGTCTCGAAGCTATTGGGGTTCGTTCCACTGCCGTTGTCGATCCTTTCGAGGTGAGTTTAGCCTCGGGAAGAAAGATAGTAACTGACGCTAAAGCCACCGATCTCTGCCTTTCCATCGGCGGCCATATTCTGATTATTGATACTTATGTTATCGAGATGAGGGATTTTGACCTCATACTCGGTATGGATTGGCTAACTCGATTTCACGCAGATATTCGATGTTATGACCGGGAGATTACTCTTTATCTTCCGGGAGATGATCAGATCACTTATTACGGCTCCAGGACTCATACTCTGCCTCATGTTATTTCTATGGCGAAAGCCAGAAAGATTCTTCGACGGGGTCATTGCCAGGGTTATCTTGTAAGCCTCGTTGGAGATGAGCCAAAGGGACGTTCACCTCATGACATTCCTATCATTCTTGAGTTCGTGGACGTGTTTCCAGACCAGCTTCCCAGAGGTCCACCTAGCCGACAGGTGGAATTTTCTATTGATCTTATTCCTGGAGCCGGACCCATTTCAAAGGCACCGTACAGAATGGCGCCTAAAGAATTGCAGGAATTAAAGACCCAAATCCAAGAATTGCTGAATCTCGGTTTTATACGACCGAGTGTTTCTCCTTGGGGAGCACCAGTCCTTTTTGTCAAGAAGAAGGACGGATCCATGCGTATGTGTATCGATTACCGGGATCTTAACCAGTTAACGATCAAGAATAAATATCCGCTTCCCAGGATCGATGATTTATTAGATCAGTTGAGGGGTGCCTGCATGTTTTCCAAGATTGATTTGCGTTCAGGCTACCATCAGCTGAAAATCAAGGAGTCTGACATACCCAAGACAGCTTTTCGTACGAGGTACGGTCACTTCGAGTTTGTGGTTATGCCGTTTGGCCTCAGTAATGCCCCGACAAAATTCATGGACTTGATGAACCGTGTATTTCATCCTTTTCTCGACCAGTTTGTTATTGTCTTCATCGATGATATTCTTATTTATTGCAAGAGCCAGAAGGAGCACGAGGAGCACCTGAGGGTCGTTCTTTCGACCCTTAGGCGCGAGAAGTTATATGCAAAATTCTCCAAGTGCGAATTTTGGCTTCAGCGAGTGGCTTTTCTTGGCCACATTATTACTTCAGCAGGTATTGAAGTTGATCCTTCCAAAATTGCCGCAGTTCAAAACTGGTCAGCATCGAAGAATCCGTCTGAGGTTCATAGTTTCCTCGGCCTTGCAGGTTATTATCGCAGATTTATTGAGGGGTTCTCAAAGATTTTCCTCCCTTTGTCTCAGCTGACGAAGAAGTCTGTAAAGTTTGAATGGACAGACCGTTGTGAGTCTAGTTTTCAGGAGCTGAAAAGGAGGCTTACGACGGCACCGGTGTTGACTATTCCAGATCCTTCTCGGAGCTTCACCATCTATAGTGATGCTTCGAGGCAGGGTTTGGTGTGTGTACTTATGCAAGATGGACAGGTCGTTGCTTATGCGTCACGCCAGCTTAAAACCCATGAACAGAACTATCCGACGCACGACTTGGAATTAGCTGCAGTTGTTCACGCCCTTAAGATTTGGCGACACTATCTATATGGCGGTCTAATGCGAAATCTTTACTGATCGTAAGAGCTTGAAATATATCTTTACTCAGAAGGAGCTCAACATGAGACAGCGTCGTTAGTTAGATCTCGTCAAGGATTACGATTGTACGATCCAGTACCATCCGGGGAAGGCGAATGTTGTTGCTGATGCCCTAAGCCGTAAGGTGAAGGGTGACTTTACATACGTTGTTACCCAGCAGAGCCAATTGATTCAGGAGTTCGCCCGGATGTGGATTCAAGTGATTGATGGACTTTCTACTGTTAGTATGGGGAGTGTGAGTTCCATGCAGGTTCAGTCGACGCTGAGGGAGAGGATCCGGCAAGAGCAAGCTTCAGATGAGTTTATTCGTACGATTGATGCTAAGGTTCGTGCCGAAGGCGTCGAGGGTTTTCACCGAGGCACTGATTGGGCCTTGGAGTTTCATGGCAGGATTGTGGTGCCAAAAGTCGAAGCATTGAGAACGGAGATTTTATCTGAGGCTCATACCGCACCCTATATAGCCCATCCAGGAAGTACAAAGATGTACCATGACCTGAAAGGGTCGTTTTGGTGGAGAGGATTGAAGAAAGACGTTGTCGACTTTGTAAGAAGATGTTTAACCTGTCAGCAAGTCAAAGCCGAGCATAAGAGTCCAATAGGCCTTCTACGACCACTACCGATTCCGAGGTGGAAGTGGGAGGAGGTTGCGATGGATTTTGTCACGGGGTTACCAAGGTCGTCTGAACATCACGACGCTATCTGGGTCGTGGTCGACAGATTGACTAAGGTTGCTCATTTCTTGCCAGTATCGATGAGCATGTCTTTGGATCGGTTGGCTGAGATTTATGTCTGTGGGATCGTTCGACTCCATGGAGTACCCGTTACTGTCGTGTCAGACAAAGACCTCAGATTCACCAGTAGATTCTGGAAGAG